CCAGGCAGGAAGCTGGCCAGCCGGAAGACTGGCGCTCCCCACCCGAGCCTCCCTGTCCAGCACCATTTATTAAAGAGGCTATCTTTCCTCTAGTGAACATGTTTGGTCTAAAATTCATTTGGAGTCAGAAGAGACCTAGAATAGCAAGAGCAATTCTGGGAAACAAATACAAGGCAGGGGCATCACAACCTCTGGACTGAAGTTATACTACAGAGTTATAAAAACAGTATGGTACTGGCAAAAAAAAAAAAAAATCAGAGGATGAGTGGAACATATTAGGAGATGCAGAAACAACTCCAAACACACTCAGCCACATTATGTTTGACAAAGGGATTTGTATAATTCATTGATTCTTTGTCATTTCCTTCCAGCTCTAGCTTTGGATTTGAATTGCTTTTGTTTTATGAAGACCTTGAAGTTCATTGTGAGGTTATTTATTTGAGCTTGCTCTATTTTCTTCATGTAGGAATTCACCACTATAAACTTCACCTTAAGACTGCTTGCACTGTGTTCCGTAGGTCCAGTATGTTGCACTGACAATATCATTTGATGCTATGAACTGTCTAATTTCTTCCTTGATTTTATCAGGGGCCCATTAATTGTTTGAGGGGGTATTGTTTAATTTCCATGTGTTTGTATGGTTTTTTGCCATTGATTTCCAGTTTACCTGCACTATGATCTAATAATATGCATTGGATAATTTCAAGCTTTTGCATTCACATAAGTACCCTTGGTGGGCTAGCATGTGATCTGTTTTGGAAAAAGTCCCATATGCTGGTAAGAAAACTGTACTTTTTGATGGTGGTCAGGACACTGTTGACATCTATTAAGTCCATTTGTTTGAAGGTTTGGTTCAACTCTGATATTTTTTGTTAATATTTTGTCTAGTGGATCTGTCCATTTGTGACGGCATTGTATTGAGGCTCCCCATTATAATTACATTGGTGTTTATCTGACGTTTTATGTCACGTAGTGCTTGTTTTATGAAATTAGGTGCACCGATGTTTGTGACATGTTTATAATTTTCCTGCTGGATTGTTCCTTTAGCCAATATTCATGCTCTTCTTTGTCTCTTCTGATCAGTTTTTCCTCGAATCCACTTTGTCTGAAATTCAGATGGCTATGTCTGCTTTTCTCTGGGTTCTCCTTGCATGGAATACTGTTTGCCAGCTTTTGATTTTTAATCAGTGAACTTCCTTTGAAGTTAAATGTGTTTCTTGTATACTGAATATCATTGAGTTTGGTTTTCTGATCCATTCTATCTGTCTGTGTCTTTTAATTATGGAGTTGAGACCATCCATATTGAAAATTATTACTGAAATGTAGTGACTTCTTTCTGTCTTTACATTCTTTTCCTGTTGCTGATTTCCTTAATTTTCCCTTCCAGGTTATGTGTTCACCCTGCTAGGTATATTCATTGTATTTGACTTACTGGCATTGTTGTTTTGTTTCTTTGTAGAATCTCCTTGAGACATTTTTGTAATGGTAATTCAGTGGTCATTAATTTCTGAGGTACATTTGGTCATGGAAATATGCTCTCTTTCCATTAATTTTGAAGGACAGTTTTTCAGGGTATAGAAGTCTGGGTTGTAAGTTACCTTTTAGGGCTTGAAGCACTTCTCCAAACCATCATGGTCTATCTTAGAATACTGTATTGGGTTTCAATAAGACCTTCATTTAAAATATGGTATCTTATCATTCAGAAGTATTAAATGCATAGGAAATGACTTTGTGACCAAAGGCAACAATCCAGGGTTTGTTTTCATGGATACGCATTTGTCTCAGGACCACTCAATGACTTGGTATTGAGAAATGTGAGGTGTCTGTTTCCTTTTCAGTGTCTGGTTCCATCCATGCACTAGTCACTTTCTGGAGTCTGTTGTTATTTTTGTTCTGTTGGTCACTGTAGCAGTCTCTTCCCAATTCTGCACTGTTTTGATTAATGTCAATTTATAAAAAGACTTGAAATCTGATCTAACTTGTCCTAAATCTTCTTCTCCCAGAGGGCCTTATCTATTCCTGAGCCTCTATACTTTCATATAAATCTTAAAATCATCTTCACAAATCTCATATTAAATATTTAATGAAATATGTTGATCCACTGGGGAAATTAATACCTTTTTATGTTTATAATTCACCTTTATGCTCACTTTAGCTGAGTCTTCATTAATACTTTTCCAAAAAGAATTTATCATTTTTCTCCCAAATGGCTGGTACACCCTGTCTTACCATGTCAATAACACCAAGTAATGGTGTAAATGTAAAACAACAAAGATAAACACGCATGTAGTATACCATTTAGAATTATCTCTTAAATTTTATTATTTATTTACTCTGTGATCTAGAAATTGTATTTTAAAGAACTTTTCTAAGAGATTACTGGAAAGTTTTTATACAGAGTGTGCACACTGTATTATATCTTTGCAATGGAGTATTATGTCACAGTAAAGAATGAAAATGTTACAGCTAAATGCAACAGTAGATATGAAGCTTAGAAACATATTGAGGAAATATCTGTCTCAAAAGACTATATATGGTACCATATGTTTTTATGACATCTGAAAATAAGTAAAATGGAATGATATGTAAAATGAACACATGTAGGGTGAAACAGACATAGAATGACAGGTGTGAAATGTGGGTACTCATGAGCACAGGGATGAGTAGAGAGACGGAGATGGGATTGCGAAGGAAGCACTCACTGACCTCAGTATTGTTCTTAAGCAGGTTGTGGGTTCATGCAAGTTTATTTTACTGTTGTTACAGCTAATGAAGACAGACTTTACGTCAATAAATCACACATGAGGCTTAAATACACACTAGAACAGGTTTGTAAATTAGTAGATACAAGTTCAGTGAGAAACCCTTGTTCCATCAAGAGAGGAAGGCTGGGTTTTGAAGGCAGCAATGTGGAAATTGGTGTCATGGTCCACTCCTACTTTCAGCTCCACATGATTGGCTGCCCAGGGCTGTCGCCAGGGTTTTCCCATAAGCAGAGTCTTCTGGAACAGTCTGGAAACTCATGGTTGGAAGCATGACCATCAGCGATCTTGCACACACTCTTCCTGGAAGCCCTCTCCCTTTAGGAGTTAAAGACTGACTGCCTGAGGCAATGCTGCCTGGACAAAGAAGGCGCTGAGGCTCGCAGAGAGCTTTCTCCATTTGGACAAACTGCTGGCATCATCGTTTTTACACGGCCAAGAAAATAAAAAGAACAATTACTTGGGAAAAAAGCACAGGAATTCTGATCTGGGACAGACAGGCACAGGGGCCTGGGAACAAAGGAAAGGTTGGGGTTTCATTAGGACAAAGAACGGGGAAGCTCTGAGTGGCAGCGGAAGCCATCACCATGCAAAGCTACCGTTCCGGTCACAGTGGCTCTTTCTCCAACAGCAGGGGCCTTAGTCTCTTTTCTCATCAACGGGACACGATAAAGACTAAACCTAACAGGGAGCGGGGCTTATATTGGCTCACAGGATGTGGTGGTTGCGGTCCACCGTCGGCTGGCTCCGAGGCAGGGCAGCGTGGGGGCGGGGCACTGCAGAGGAGCACCGCGCATCACAGAAGCAGAGAGAGTGAAGGGAGGAAACCGGAAGGGAGATAAGCACTTCCAGGTCACCCGCCACAGATCTTCCTCTTCCAACCAGGTCCCACCTGCTGCACGTTCAGCTGCAACACCCCCATAGTCCAATGACCTTTCCAAAGCCCCACCTTTCTACGCATGAGGCCTTGGGGGAGACATCCAGATTTAAACCACAACAGCAGAGGTAAGAAGAGAAACCTCGTCTTAAAGATAAAACAGGTTGTTTCCCTGGAGTGGCCTCATGGGGCAGCACGCAAAGCAGTCATTTGTGACCAGAGCCTTTTCTTCCCATGGCCTCTTGGCTCAATTTTAGACAGGCATGAGAAGAATTTTATTTGTGTGCTCAGTTTTCCATACTGTGTAGCCTAATAAGTTACACATGGTAACATACATCCATTTATGCATCAAATATTACATAATGACAAAACAAACAAACCTCAATTGTCTGTTATTTCAACCTTCAAACTATTTTTAACTTTCTGGTCAATCTTTATGCAAAGCACTCACAGATATTTTTTCTCAACATAGTTTTGAAAATACCATTGTTACTATTTTTAGTGACAAATACTGAACTATTTACAGATACATTGATGTGATACCTGAGAATTCGCATCAAAATAAAGTGGGGCAAGTGTGGGTGCAGTTGCAACTAAGACCCGCCAGGAGCTGAAATCTGGTGATTGAGTATGAACACGAATTCTGCTGTTTTCATACCCAGTAAAATTTCTCATCTTAGAAAGTTTTTATTAAGTTGGCAACCACAAAAGTGTCATAACCAGTAACCAATCATAGAAAAAAGATAAATCAGTGGAATCTATTTAGGGTAGAGCTTGGAGCTCCAGTGACCAGGAGAGGAAAGTACACAGGCACACAAGCTGCCTCTGTGTGCCTGGTCACCAGATCTGCCTGCAGGAAAACACACACAGGTCCCCAGGCCAGTCATGATGGTTCCATGAAGTGTCCTTCTGTGCTGCCTTATAAAAGAGCTCATATTGTGTTTTGGGTTTTACTTTGAAAAGTGTCAAAGATGATCAGTACAATGCTGATTGAGTTTTATTAATGCTCTCAACAATGAAATCGCTCTCCCTAATCAAGAAGGTGAGAACCAGTGTGATCTGCCTTCTCCTTTATTCCAGCACAAGGGGTATGTATACCCAGAAGCCTCCAAGGAAGAGCTAGGGTTCCATGAACCACTTCCACAAAGAAATACTGTCAGTGCCTTAGTGCTTCTCTCTCTCTCTCTCTCTCTCTCTCTCTCTCTCTCTCTCTCTCTCT